TTGCATTCTGTGTTTGATACAAGCAGGTTGGGATTGATTGGAAATTTTGGAGCGGATAATCATGAATTGCAGTGAATAGGTTCATCGTTCGCCTGTTGTCTTGTGTTCATAAAGATGTTTATTTGTTGCGCGAATTTCTCTTCCCTCAACCAATCAAATTGCGTTCATATGAATAAACATCGAATTTATCTTGATCGGAAATCAAAACTTGGTCTCGACTGCGGACCGTCACGGATACCATTGCATTCTCGAAAAATGCGATCGAAATATTGATTGGTCTCAAGAGTTTATGACAGTTTATAGACTCTTGTTTGTCTCTGATGGCGCTGCATCAAAATGTATCACAGCTGTTTTCTCCAGATAACCAATGGACTCCTGTTGTCATTTAGTTTTTAACTGAAACTTTTTAAGAGTAGGTTTGAATTGTATTGAAACTTTTATCCTGTCTCCCCTCCCTTGTTACAGATGAGAGGAAGAGAAATCCCGGCTGAGGCTTATCTGATGAGTCGAGTGCGTCACCCAAACGTCATCCAAATCTACCAACTCATCTTTACAGAAGAACATTACTGTTATGTTATGGAACGACCAGAATCCTGCAAAGACTTTTTTGACGTCATACAGGACCGTAACTCCGCAGGAAACCCATTGTCAGAAGATGAAGTGAGACGATACTTCACTCAGATCTTGGAAGCTAACATCAAATGCGAAGAAAAAGGTGTTGTACACCGCGACCTCAAGCCTGAAAATATCTTGCTGGATTTGACAAATGATGAAGTGAAGTTGATTGACTTTGGGTTGGCATCTGAGATACAAGAAGAGCCTTTTGAAAGCTTTAGAGGTAAGAACTGTTCCATCAGAGAAATCTGTTTCGAGTGGTGTCAAATCCGCATGACGAAGATTAATCAGGCATCCAAACATCTACGATCTCAGAAAGAAGGCCAGCCCAGTTGACAGATCTTGTGGGAAAATGACCCTTTAGTCCTCGAACTTAGCCTCTTTATTTTTGCGTATCTTATTATTGCTGATATTCTTGGTCCTGATTTTGCGTCTTATGACATCATATATCATTCCAATTAAATAACACTTAGCATCACGCCACGTGACGGCAAGAGAGTTTGTTTCCCCTTTATTCTTAAGTAAACCTATAAACTCTCTTCAGGCTTTTGGCATTAGATATCTTATTAGTTATCAAAAATTTTCTTTCAGGTACGAATCAATATATGCCCCCTGAATTCATGAAAACAAGTAAATATG